TGTTTTGCAACATTAAATAAAATAATAAAAATATTTTATATAAAAAAAAAAAAAAAAAAAAAGAATTCCCGATCCCCAATTTTTTCTCCCGATTCCGATCTTTTGAAAATCACGTGATCGGCTCCGATCCCCGATCACGTGATCGGATCGGGACATCTCTAGTTATGGCAGTACTTCCGATTGGCGCATAACGATAAATCAGAACCGAAATCACTCGTTTAAAACATCTTTGTCACCAAACAATGAATGGGACAGTTTATACGTGTAGATGTAGTAGGGCTGCTCGATTATGGCAAAAATCATAATCTCGATTATTTGGGTCAATAATTGATATCACGATTATTAAAAACGATTATCCATTTACTTTGAAAACATCCATTTATTGAAAAAAAAAAATTGAACAGTATGTTTTTAATGTAGTTGATTACCCTGAACTTTAAGTATAATTCAACTGAAAAACCAATACATTTTTTTATTAAAAATAAAATTAATAATCGTTTTATTTCTATTATGTTGTTTTCATAATCTTTGCAAGCCAAAATCGTAATTGCGATTAAAATACGATTAATTGAGCAGCCCTAAGATGTAGTCAAAGACTCTTGAAGAGTTTAAGCAGAGTTTCTGTAAAAATTGTGCCAACGGGTTGCAGAGCTTCACTTGGACAAGCAGTCGGGTCAGGGTGTATGAGGCTGGGTACAGATTCCTCTTTCAGTCAAGTTGCACGGCTCGGCTGCAGCTCAGCAAAAGAGCTGCCTTTTTTCTTGAGCAGAGAATTGAGGCAGATGGACATAACACTAGCAGCTGGGCAAACAAATGGCAAACATGTTGTTTTTTAGATTGAAACTTGACCAAAGCTTTAACCTGTTACGCACCGCCCCCCCGGTACCGGGCGGATAAACGCGTCATTTGCAGGAAACAACGTCTAAGGAATCTTAATATTTAATAAACTATGAATGTTTTATATCCATGTAACGGGAAGAAACTCAGCTAACTGATCTTTTTAATTTTTTTTCTCCAAAAAAACCCCACAATGCTAACACTCAGCCTCTGAATTAGCCACGAGCGAAGAAATACTAACCTATCACTGCACCTAAACTCACTCATAACTCCCGTATTACTTATCCTAGATGCACAGCCAACCCATCGATTAGCATCGCCTGGAGACACAGAATCTGGGGGTGCCCACCTCAACACTCAGTGATAAACATTTGCGACGCTATAAACAAAAACGTACATCAAAACATGTGGCGCGAGGTAGCTACAAACGCTAACATGGCTTACCTTGGTCAAAACTGGTCTTCAATGGCATTCAACGATAAAAAACGATGCTGCAGTTAATCCATAGGTTAATCCAATGTGTCTGTGTCCTCTTTGAAATTATTTCTGATAATACATAAGCAATAAAACAGCTTTTTCGTTTCCAGATTTCATAGCGAGAGATCGCTTCACTCTGGTGCAAACCTGCATGCGCGAAGCCCCCACCGTTTGTTTTCACAACGAGTGTGTGTGTGGGGCCTCCCCCTTCGATTATATTGGCTCTAACGGTCAGAAAGAGGTGTCAACCATCCAAATCGACCAAGGGGGGCCAGAGATATGAAAATAAAAAACATTTTCACCCAAATCACCTCAGGTGGAGTGGTTTTGGCTAAATCTCTCTAAAAAGGTCAAATGTCACTTGTTTTGCATCAATCTTGATACAGGGTACTTATTATATGTTGTTCTTTGGATTCTTAAAGCTTTTAGTCTACCTTACCATCATCCAAGGGTGGTTTTCACTATAAGTAAAAAAGAATTTTTGGACGGACACTATAATTTACAGTTTTTTACTATGTAAAATCTGAATCTTCTTTAAAATAAAAAACATCTATATTGATTCTGACTTTTCTACTACACAACTCACAGGTTTATCATTACTTTGAGAAAAAAGATTATTAATTTAACCCTTTTAGAAGGGAAGATATGGTCATTTGTTCTGGGAATGTCATTTTCGAGCCTGAGACCTGAAAAACAGGGCTTAACAGGTTAAGTATTGTACATTTTGGCTGTAAAACAATGCTGCAAAGAAGACATTGTGGACTACAACTGTGAAAAACATAATCCCAAAAGCAGGCAGTGTACACCAGAGGTTGCGCTAGACTTTTTCGCTGCCCGTCATTTTGACGGACAGGATCGTACAATTTCCGTCAAAATCCATTATTACCCGTCAGTCTGTACACCTCGCGGGAGCGCGCCACAGCGTAAAGCAGAAACTCCCAGACATTTCATTTATTTGTACGGCAAAGTTAGGTCTGGAAACTATATCATTTCCTTTTTGGAGGGCATCCATAACACGGCATAACACCGGAGCCCTGTTGCGGGGAAACTTTGGCGCTGTTCTGAGTTTGTTCTAATCTGTCAAAATGACGGACTGCTTTCAGATTTTTCCGTCATTGTTAAAAAAATTCCGTCATATACGGAATATATTCGGTTAACGCGACCTCTGGTGTACACAGTCCAGGTGAACATACACTGTCACACAAGGGCAGTTGCTTTGCCCAACATGACTATAATCACAACACACACACACATACAAATACACAGATACACATACACACACACAGCGCAATCCTCTAGTTATCTCTTGAGGCTTGTTATGTTTCCTCAGTGTCCTTGGGATTTAATGGTACCATCAGGCGAGCTGGCCAATACCCACTAGCAACACAAAGCACGGAGGATACATGGAAGCTCAACATAGTAAACCTTCATAACACAGTACTATAAAAAGAGCAGAAAACGCTGCATCTCTCTGTCACAGTAGAGTCCCCGAACAGAAATAACTCAATGAATATTCAATTTGGCCAGCGAATATCCCAAATCTATTTACCCATAAGGGACACAGATGTGCTTTAAAGAATGACTGATTAAGCAAGCGTAAGCTCTGAAATTGTTCACAAAATACAATTATTTTGTCCCAAAGTGTTGACGGGTTTTATCATGTTTTTGGGGATGCTCATAATTGCTATTGAAACCGTTTCATGATCTGTTTGTGAATGACGGAGTTGTGGGATCTGGTTTGTGTGGTTTGCTCATGATGTAGTACATGTCTACATACTGTATTTGTGAGAAGTTTTGTTTGCAATACTATAATTAGTTGTACATTTACTATGTAAATAGACAGTACAATAAACCTGCCCACATGCGTCACTAATTACGGTCTTGTCTGAACAGGACATGTTTCTTCTCACAACTGCTAATGAATCCTGTTTTTTGCCTTTTCTAATTAACAGTTGCATACATGTATATGTAGCGTGTGTACAAACAAGAGATGAACAAACATGCAGATCAGGCTGTGTCACTCAGAGACCAAAATAAACCAGCCCCACTTTATCAATGCTCGAGCATGTTGTGCCTGCTGCATATTAAAAGATGAGAATTTTTTTCTGACGACGGTTTCTTATTATTTAATAACAGTCCTACATACACTAAGTCATGTGTGCTTAGTTATAGATGAGAACACATAATTATGTGAAAGAAAAAAAGCAATCAAGTAACACCGGACTACATACTGATGTTAGCTGTCTGAAACTTTAAAAAAAAAAGTAATGGAGCAATATACAGACAGATGACTCATCAGAACCAGTGGATGCTAGTATTTGGTTTGTGTTCTGTGGTCATTTTGTTATCAGTTGCCTAAGCAGATTTTTGGAAGCACTGTGCTTCCAACGTTGAAAATATAACCGCATTGGTTCTGTCTTAAGCCCTCTTTGCCATTATTAACATCACCCAGCGAAATATAGCCCCATATTATTTGTGTTCTCTCCTTCTGCATTTCACAGCTCTGTCTGTCCCTCTGTTCTCCCTCATCTTTCTCCATCAATGTTAAGCTCGCACGTCTGAGATCATGATTGTGCAGCCTTTCTCTCTCTCTCTCCTCTCTCTCTCTCTCTTTCTCTCTCTTCTCTCTCTCTCTCTCTCTCTCTCTGTCTGTCTGTCTGTCTGTCTGTCTGTCTGTCTGTCTGTCTGTCTGTCTGTCTGTCTGTCTGCTGTTTCCTCCCCTTCCCTCCCTCCCCTGCTTGTATGCCCGCGTCATCCTGTTGTCACTTTGACGCCAAGCTTGATAGAACAAGGGAGCATGAGCAGGGGTGAGCCTAGCTTTAATTGTAGACTGTTTGTGATGGAAATTAGATCTCACTCAAGAAATAATGGCTAGGGATTAAGCCGAGCCCCAGGGTCAAGACGGGCTGCTCAGACTGCTAATGACTCTGCAGCATTCCTCTCGGAATCACACTTGATTTAATGATGTGTCTTTTTGCATACATATGCATGTTCATAGTGTGTGTTTGTGCACGCCAGAGTTGAAGGGTGTGATTTATTAAATTATTCTATTGCTAATGTCGGACTGGTATCTTCCCTGCATATGAAACCAATATGTTAAGGTTCAGTGAATTGCTTGACACATATATTGACATGACTGAGAAGCAGCAGAGGAAATAAGACATTCATATTGCTCAGTCCTCTGTGGGAAGTATAGAGCTATGCAAAACTCAGAAAGCTTATTTATCACTTCGCTCGGCACAAACTTTTTTATCGGCTTTCAACTGAATAGACCAAAGGGATTTGTACACAAAGTACATGGTGTCTGAAACTGCAGGCAAGAGCAAACTCTAGGCAAATAAGATGGATGATAAAAAGAGATGAATGAAAAATGAATAATTGCTGATTGACTTGATGTGGAAATGATCACATTGTAAGCTGTATACTGTTGGGATAAAATGCACTTTAACACATTGTATGTAACATTAACATCTTTTTGTTTTTGTGTGTGCTTCTTCCAGATCCCCATCTGCAGCAATCATGATGGAACCCATTTCCGTAAAGTTTCGTAGTCCTACCATTTCAAGAGAAGAATGGGTTTGCGCTGAAACCATGAACGCATCGTTTGCTTTAGCAGACACGAGCAGACTCTGATACTAGTCTCCTCCACGGCTCCCTCACTCTTTTGCTCGTTTTCTTCTACTTGCATTCCCCTAAAAGAAAGATCATAATCAGATAACTCTTCCCCCAAGCGTTTGGCGCCAGCTCAAATTTCCTCAAAAATGAACTGCGATCTGGATTCTAGAGACTAAGATTCTATTTTCATCCCAGGATAGACCAAGAGGCTTTTGAAGAAACGGCTGTGTTTAAATTATCATATTCCCCCCTCTTTTACTTTCCCGCTATTCCTCATTCCTTCCTTTCCAATTCCCAGAGGCACCAACTGATGGAGAGACGAAGGAGAGAGTCAGGATAAGGACAAGAATTATAGCCCCACAGAGAAAAGGAACAAACTGCTGATTCTTCAAGAAAATTGGAGTAGGGCTATTGCAAGGATTACTATACTCGGTGAGCTTGATATCCCACTTCAGTGATAAATAATACCTTTTTGATTACATTTGAAATCTATTAGCCACAACAAAGCTAGACGTTACCTCTGGGGTGCATTAGACCTGTAAGGCATCAAGTAGAAAAGGGGACATTTGGGAACTTTGAGCATGAAAAGGGGTTAAGATTCCTGGGTTGGCCCCTGTGGCCTATGGCCCTCATCAGCCTACTCACTACAGTGGAGATGCTAGAATTTGGTGGGGCGCCTGGCCAGTGGGCCCGCTATGGACGCTGGGAAGCTGGATCAGTGGGCGAGCTGAGTTTCAGTCTCAAGACCAACATCAGCAAAGCCTTAGTACTCTACCTGGATGATGGCGGCAACTGCGACTTCTTGGAGCTTTTGATAGGCAGGGGCGCTCCAGCTGCGCTTTGCCATCCACTGTGCCGAGCCGGCCACGTTGCACATGGAGACACGGGTGAACGATGACCGCTGGCACATGGTCTTGCTGACCCGCAACTTCCGTGAGACCCTCCTGATGGTTGATGGGGAGACAAAAGTAGCCGAGGTCAAGTCCAAGAGGAAGGAGATGGCAGTGGTCAGCGACCTTTTGTGGGCGGCATTCCACCTGATGTGCGCCTCTCTGCCCTTACGTCCAGCACAGTGAAGTACGAGCCACCATTCCTGGGATTGATCTCCAATCTGAAGGTGGGGGAGATGCCTCCTACTTTGTTAAACAGCCAGGGCATTCAGAGCGACCTGGAGTACCTCTGCACCAAGCAGAACCCGTGCTTCAATGGAGGGTTTTGCTCAATTGAGTTTGGAGAAGTTCACTGTGACTGCATCCACACCGGCTTCAGGGGGAAGTACTGCAAGGAAGGTAAGGAACCATCATGCTCTATCTGCTCTACCTTGGTTGTTGTTGATGTTTAAGCTATTAATCAGCTGTAGTTAAAGATATCCTCTGTGTGCCTCGTTACTCAAAATAGGTAGTTTAATTCTTGTGGGTTTTCTGGTCATCCGACACAACTCAGTCTCCTCTCAGTGGTGTGAGAGGTAAATTACTAAAATAGTCTCTTCTTGACCTTTTCCAAGTATCTTGCAGTGAAGTCACAAGTGGCTTGTTTCGTTGGTATGAGGAAGTAGGATCTCTGTTTCTTATACTTGAGGGGCTAGCACAGTGAGGACAAGAGAAAAGAGGGTAAAAAGATTCATTGCTTTAAAGATTAAATTGTTGAATGAAAAAAAACGTTTCTAGGGATTATGTCATCATACAAGAGATTAAGACATGGCACACGTGCTCCTTTGAATGTTGATTGGATTGTTTTAAACAATACTTAAATTCATAGGTGCTGAATATCTAAACAAAAATATTTCAAATGCAAAATCTCACATTGTAGGTCTTCTCTACACTTTATTTCCTGTTTCTTTATCTGTCTTCTTCATGTCTTGTTTCCAAGCCTCTTGTCTCAGGCATGCACCCTGTTCTTCTTCATTTGCTCTTGGGATGTGCTCCTTTGCTGTCAGCTCATGTCAAACTTTGTTCTGCTTTACACCTCTGGCTCCCTCCTTTACTGACACATCCCATTTCCATATCTATGGTCTCTCCCCTCCGCTTTACGTTCATCCATCTCTCCGTTACTCTTCGTCCCGCAGCATTTCCTTCTCCCGCCTCCTAATTCTCTCCTCAAGACTATCTGGCCGCTCCATCTCTCATCACCTCCCTCCCCCGCTCCATCCCTCCCAAGTTCACTCCCTTACTCCACTTATCTCTCTTTCACCTTTACCCGCTGTCAGCATACTCCCCTCCTCCCCCCCTGCACTTATCTCCCTCCTCTCTTTCTCTCAAAGTGTCTGCATCTCAACACCTTATTTGTGCATTCTTTTATTCACTGTGCAGTCATTCATTCTAGATTACCTACTGTTTGCCCTGCTATTAATAATGCATTGCGCAATCATTAATAATCAATAGACTCAGTAGCTCCTACCTTGTCCTGTGTGATGAAATGACTTGTAATTACTGGATCTTCAAAAGGTAGATCACTTCTTTGCCAGCAATGTGACAATTGTTTTGAAGTCTTGTATTTTGGTGGCACGCAGAGATAAGCTCTGACAAAGCTGAAAAGAAATCAAGGCAAAGACAATGTTTTGTTACATTTGTTTTTCTTTGACTACTGCTTTTGATAGATCTGAAGTAAAAATAATAAAATCAGCATGGAGCCAAGATTTTGATTAAGGCATTTGAATTGTTTTCAAGTAGAAAGTCTGGAACCGTCTATACCGGCTCGAGAAGCTGTCTGTTTGGTCTTTTTCTCCTAAAGAAACGAAACCAAATCAGATTCCTTCGTTTCTTGTGACTGAGTTAGACAGCCTTGAGCACAGCAAATGATGTGCTGGACAGCAATATAGGTCTGTCTGTGTCTCTCTCCTCTTTTTGCTGTCTTTCTTTCATTTCTCTCTGTTCCTTCAACTCTTCAAGCCTTTTCTCCCTCGCTCTGTGAGCTCTGTGTCAGATTGCTGTGTGTGGTTGCTGGAAGCAGATACTGCCGCGTGGCTCTTGGCTAAATTGAGAGCAGAATACCAATGCAGTGCTACAGTGACTGCTGGAAACATTTGTCCTTTTGAAATGGAGAGAGAGTAAGATAGAGGGAGAGAATGGAGATAGAGGAAAGGAGCAGAGAAACGCAGCAAGAGGAAATCGGAGAGAGAGAAATGGCTGATCAACAGTGAGAAATGGAGAAGAGAGCAAGAATGAGAAAGAAAGCATGAAGATATCAATTTGCGCTGTGTTAATTTATTTTCAGAGATGTTCTCTGGATTGAGGGCCGTTAATTGGGTCATTATGGCTGCCAGTGCAGTGATGTATTTATTGCTTTTATCTAACACGGGTGGCAATGTAAAGGTCTCTCTCTTTTCGTTGCCTTAAGACCCTTTTAGATGTCTGTACTAACAAATCCATGTCTGGCTGTGTTAGCTGTGGTGAAGGAGCCATTTCAAAGAAAAGGTTATTTTTAAAGTCTTAATGCCTGCTCACTTCAGAGAGGGCAATCAATGAACAGGAACATGTTTTAAGATGACTTCTAGCATTTAGATAAATGTGACATATTCTAGATCGGTTTTATTTAATTAATTTAAAGAGGGTTCATTTACTCAAATGTCCCCTCCAGTAAAAGTATGTTGTGCTTCTTTGGTTAAACCGAAAACAGCCGCATACAGTCTGTTGCCAGGAAGTAGCAGGTCTTTTGCTTTATGCTCTATGGTCTTACTGTAACAGTCTTGAATCTCTCTTTTGCTGTTGATCGAAGTAAACTATCTATTGTAAACAATTTGTTATTTACTCTAAATTGAGTTACATTTAGGGAGGAAGTACACTGTGATGAAGTAAAAGCAATTTTTGTCTGACATTGATCTGTCAACTCAAACATGCACATGCTTCCAGAATGGCTGCCACTCAGAGAAGCAGCTCATTAGCAGAGAAACTGCTTATGTGAAAAGACTCAATAACAGATTTTTTACATGTGGGGTGAAAAGAAGCACTGAGTTGTGAATAACCAAGAAAAAAAAAAATGGGCTTTTGGAAAACACAACAAAAACAAAGAAAATATTTGTTTCATGAACAATGGATAGTTATACAAAATTGCAAGTGAATGTTGACTGTCCTTTAGGAAAATAAAAAGGGCTCAAAGGACAGAAAAGAGTTTTAATATTTACGTGACATTTCATTTAGCTTAAATGGAAATGAAAAAAATGGAAGTTGAAATGAAAATGGAAATGATTAAGTAAAACATCCAAAACTGAGCTGCTGTTTCCTGGGTGTTTATTTCGTGTTAAGCTATCTGCCAAGCCTGCAATCCAAAAGTATTCGAGCTAATAGTATTTCTCCTGATATTCAATGTCATTTGATGACAAAACAAACAAACCAGTCTAATCCATCACCAATCTGAATAACATTAAAAGTTGATAGCTAGAATTAAAGTGTAGTGTTATTGGCGGTCACGTATATAAGACTTTGAAGGGGCAGGCTTTGATGATCACATACGAGAGAATGGAGTTTGACACAAAAGAAGTTGCTTTCATGTTTGACTTCAGCACAGATGACAAGCGCCAAACTCTAAAATCTAAACCCCATTATGTTACATAAATCTTGTCAAAATATGCACATTGGAAAATACTTTTACAGCCCTTAAGTGCAGTTTTGGACAAATCATTGATATTCAATTCATTAGCCACAAAGGTGTTATTTATTCATTTGTATTTCTGACTTTTGAAATCATATTTAATCACTATTAAATATGATATTGGTTGTCAGCCCAAGGACGACACGGTCAAATCTGAACATTGTATATGACAACTGATGATTTGTAATTTAAGGAGGTTGTGCCATCTCATCTCCCTCAAGCACAGTCTTTTATCCCACATTTCTCTTTGTGGAGTAACTCTTGTTTTGTTCATTTGAATACCAGTGATCTCTCTCAGCTTTTAGCACCTTTTATCCAAATCTGGCAGGTTTTAACATGTATTATGTTGGCTCCTCTGCATCAAAATTATTAAGTTGAATTGGGAGAATAAAAGTTAGAGGTTATGATTCAGCCTGATATATCTTTTTAAACTGACCACTGACAACACAAACAAAATGCAGGTTTCACTTAACTGATATTACATTGGCTGCTCACAGAGAAGCAAACATGGACTACCTAGTACTGCTAGAATGTGCACGCTCTATGGATGTGTGTATGAGCACCTTCCTGCCATAATCATAGATTATGTTCCTAATGGTTTGCATTGTGAAGAAGTAACGGGCAGATCTTTTCCATTAGGGTTTGTAATTAAAGCCACTACGTGCCTCTGTGGGCCATTGTTTTTATAATTGATGCTGACCCTTGCTTTGTTCTCTATTGAACCCCAAACGGCAATGTGCGGCAATGCAGTTATGAGCTCTCAAGTCAGGGTAATTAGAGGTTAAATGAATTTGTGAAAGACTGTTGAGTAAATTAATATATTAATATCTCGCAGCAAACTATGAATAGACTTTCAGGTTGCCAAGAAGATGGCTTTGCACTTGACTTTAAAGTTATTTTTCAAGTTTATTTTATTTTACAATATTCAGCTGACATGAGAGATGTTTTAAATTGTTAATGGTGAGTAGCCAGTTACTTCATTAGAATTAAATAAAAACAACACATTATCCTGGCCAAAGAAACAATGATACCATAAAATAATTATGTTCTTTTAAAAGACAAAACTGGACATAAGAACAAAACCATGCCTTAGCATTATTGACTTCATGGATCTCTCATGATCCCTTCACTGTAGCAATTTGCAAAACGAGTCAGTGAATTTAATTACTTTCCTATTGATTTTAGAAAGGTCAGATGCTGACAACTGCCAGTGTAATTGGATTTATTAAGTTAAAAGGTAACTTAAAGCCACGCTCAAAAGTCATTGCCTTGCTGCCCTCCGGTTAAAACTTACAAGCTTGTCTGTCTTCTGACGGCATCTAGCTTCAGTGATGGATTTGGTTGCTCGGTTTGACCTGTAACCACACCCAACAGTTCAGTCAGACAACTCACGTGTTTCTTTAACATGTTTATTAGAAGCAGCATATAGTTGAGTTTGGCGTCTAGGCTCGGGCCTCATCACTCCACAGATATACATAGCACGATGAGTAATGATTAAATAACTAACCCCCAAAACTGCGTGGAGATTAGATACTATCCCCCAAAACTGCGTTGCCCGAGCCTGACGCTGGTGATGTAAGTCTGATAAGAGGGCCTGGCAAGCTGCCACGTGGCCATTCCCCCTAAGCATAGCGGCTTTAAGGGGAATATACTACTTAGTGAGACTGCTATGTGAAGGCCAGGGAACAACGAACCGGATTCC